AGGCTGAGTACATCAACAAAGTACTCTCCAGGTTCAACATGCAAGATGCTAAACCAGTAAGTACACATTTAGGTGTTCATTTCAGACTCTCCAAAGACCAATCACCAAAGACAGAGGAAGAACGTGCACACATGGTGAAGGTGTCGTATGCCTCAGCAATTGGAAGTCTGATGTATGCCATGGTTTGTACCAGACCAGATATTGCTCATGCAGTGGGAGCTGTTAGTAGGTACATGAATAATCCGGGCAAGGTACACTGGGAAGCAGTCAAATGGATCCTCAGATATCTTCGGGGTACCACAAACAAAGCACTTTGTTTCAAAGGTGGAGATATGATCCTGACAGGCTATGTAGATGCTGACTTAGCCGGAAATGTCGACATCAGAAGGAGCACTACAGGGTATGTCTATACTCTAGGAGGAACTGCAGTGAGTTGAGTTTCTCAACTACAGAAGATAGTTGCTCTCTCCACAACTGAAGCAGAATATGTCGCTGTTATGGAAGCCAGCAAGGAGATGGTTTGGCTCCAAAGTTTCTTGGAAGAGTTAGGCAAGAAACAAGAAAATAATATCTTGTATTGCGACAGTCAAAGTGCTATCCATCTAGCAAAAAATCCGTCTTTTCATTCCAGGACAAAGCACATACAATTGAGATATCATTTTATCCGGTCTCTTCTGGAAGATGGGATTTTGAAACTTGAAAAGATTAGTGGAGCTCAAAATCCGGCAGACATGTTGACAAAGACGGTGACTACGGACAAACTGAAGTTGTGTTCAGCTTCAGTTGGCATGCTAGAATAACAAGACCAGACATGCTGCTGCATTGATCGAGGTGTGAAGACATATTAAAATTAGTCTTCAAGTGGGAGATTGTTAAAAGTTTCAAAGTTTGGCAACCAACTTTGGAAAATGTTTTTTCAAAGTTTGGTAAATGTTTCTTTGAAAAATGTTTTTCAAAGTTTGGTAAAATTTTGGTAGATGTTTGTTGAAAATAGGAATGGGTAAATTCACTTTAGTCATTGCACTTTAGGGTATTTTCAAAGATTAGTCCCTAAGTTTCTACTATAAATACCCTTACCCATTTAGCTTCAAAATCATCCCAAAACATTTCTTTCTTCCTACACTAGAGAGCTTTCTTGTGAGTAGTGAGTTTTTTGTAAACACCTGTAAATTTTCTCTTAGTAAAAGATCTGCAACAGCCCGGAGACGTAAGCACAATTGGCTGAACTCCGTTATCAATTTTCGGGTATTATTTTTCCGCTTTTATTTCGCATTCTCACTAATCTGGTTATGAGGAAATTACTTGTACTTGGTTTATTTCCCAACATTAATTAACCTAATACGGTAAAATTGTTTATTTTAAGCGAATTTTATGCATCCGAAGACCGAAGTAGCGGTTGCTCTAGAATACGTACATATGATGTGAATTATCTATTGTGACCTTGAGCCTGAAAACTTGTTAGTAAGATTAGACGGATTTTAATTTTTGTTTACGGACTAACGTCTTAACATCAACGGCTCAGCCATTGCTAGACAATCCCTCACACATTTTATCAAATTGTATTGTTCTGGTTGTTTCATGCTTTCACCCTATACGTTAACATAAAAGTAGAAAAAACTCAATGCAACATTGTGCTCTCGATATTGTAGCGGAACCGATCGATGTCCTTTGTCGGAACCCATGAGTACTTGGCGCTCGAGATAATGAGATAACCGTTGCTAATATTGTAGCTCCTGAGTTCCCTAAGCAATCATCGGTGTCAGCATCAGCTAAGGACTTGATTAGTTGATTACACAACTTTTGGTGAAGGACCCTGCTAGTTGCATGGAATCGACAATGAGTGCGATGACAATTAAGCATAATCGATTTGTTTTTTATAAATTTAAAGTAAATACAAGATAATATTTGTTTAAAAACTTTTGATCATTTGATGATGAAATCTCTACATACGCAATGTTCAAGACAACTTTTTGATAGAGTTAATTAGACACTATTGAGATATATAAAACCGCCTAACACCCCAGGCCTACTACTCACGAGGAACTTCTAGTGATGGATAATAGTACCAACTAATACTATTAGTGATGGATAATAATAGCGACAGTTTAGTCGATACAACTTTTAAGATCCTGAATAATGAATTAGTTACTAAATTACAATATATGCGACAAATGAATTAATATAAAAAATCTCATTATTTTAAGAATAATATATATACAATTTAAACAAAATTAATAAATACTTAAAATTGTTAGAAATTACATTCCATCATTTTAATTAAAAAAGAAGAAGCTATTGTTGATAATTATTTTTCACTGGAAAAAAATCACTCAACCAGACATGAAAATAGAATTCCAATCTCAAAGAAAAATATAGTAATCTTATATAAGATACTAATTACAGACGGTACAAAGCTAGCAGATAATAATAAGGTTTAATCAAATAACTTTTTTTATACATTAATAAATTCTTTCAAAGCCATTTTAGATGTAATAAACAAGACATCTACCCTCGGCTTCTTCCATATTTACAAACAGCTACCTTTCATCAGTTTTGACAGGATCGTTAGCCAAGTCCAGGATCTCCTTCTTGCTCTTTTATCACACTCCATTTCCTGTTTGCCCAAGTCCTCTGAAATTGCCATATAACCATAAAGAAGCTGCTCTCCACATCGTCACCCTAGCCTGCTCGTCCCGTTTCCTCGGTGCTGTTTTCGCCATTACTTTTTGATGTAATTTCGATTCTCCCTCGCTTGTTCTCGACAAAATATTTGTGAAGTCTCTCTGCCGTTGCCAGTCCAGTAAAAGTGCCTAAGAACTTCACAACCATAATACTTTGGTCTGCAGGTCTCCCTAGGCAGACGGTGATTCCCCCCCCCCCGGTAAATCCTTTATCTGTCGTCATTCAAGAACCAACATGGGGAAGAAAAAGAAAAAGGAAATCCCACGAAAAGAAGAAAAAAATCATCAGTCCTGTCTTCTGGTCAAAGAAAGTCTTTCATATTCACCAGAAAGTCAAGAACTTTGAACATTATGATTAATTCCATTTACCAGTAGTACACGTCCACACAGCCAATTCAACTCAAACTTTCATCTTCTCTTATTATATTTTGCTTATCATTTTTGTTTGATGATATTAGCAGGCATTAAACATCCATTTTTTCGCTTCCACTCGAACTAAATGCATTCAGCCATTTACTAAACAAATTATCGTGCAAATATCAATCAAGCACCCACCTTTCAGGAAAGCCTTCACCCCTTCGATTGGATCAACCTTCTGTTCTTGAGGATTGTTATTTGCCATGGAAATATTGTGGATGACAACCATTGGAGGCCAGAGAACCAAATTCTCCTTCTGAGCCAAGGCTTCAGCTTCAGGCAAGACCTGGGGAGCCTATGTTATAGTCTCGGGAGGTGCTATGCTGTCCCAACCCAACAACACACATATTGCTTTGTGAAGACCTAGGTGCTCTGCCCTCGGCACAACCTTGTGAGACATGAAAGCATGTATCACCAGGCGTTGGGTATCCATGAATTCCTTTGGGTAGCTGTAAAAGTGCACAGATGTAAGAATAACACAGAGGTGTAAAAGAGCACAGATGTAAGAATAATACAGAGCGTGGAAGAATCATGATTCGTCAATGGCAATAAATTTTGAAAATGAAGACTGAATTGAATAAATATTGATATTGATGTTCACGAATATTAATGCATTCAGAGCCATTAGAAAAAGAAAACAACCAGTACCCAATCAGATCAGAGAGAACGAAATCAAAATCAATAAAATAAAAGTAGCATCCAGTTCCCATCCAAAGTATCTCAGACCAATTTTTCTGCAGTAATTAGAAACAGGAAATAGTGTTCCAAAACCTAAACTCACCATTTCCTTGAGTCAAAAAGTGACCTACCTTGACATACATTATGTTTTTCACCCAGGTTCAACAATAATACACATTTTTTACGAAGTTCTTTAAAGAACATAGTTGATCTCTAAGACTCTAACCTAATACAGAACAGACAAATTTTATCTCTTCGATTTGCCTATCTACACTGCCATTTAGACCAGCTTCACCATGGACCTCTCCATTAAAAGCAAGTAGCAGCATAATTGACTGGAAAAGGCAATATCATCCAGTACACCAGAGACAAATAAATTACCACCGTCACTAAAATTACCTATTAAATCCTTTTTTCCGAAATCCCTCAATCAGACATAAGGGTACTAACCTTGCTCCTTAACAACATCCAAGATTCTGAAAGAGCAAGAACTAATGGCTCAAAACAAACATCTTAGATGCCTGTTGCTAAAGCCAAGCAGCTTTTTCTCACAAATCAGTCAAGAATGAGCAAATAATGCAATAAGTTCTATCTAGTATCCACAATGAAGCCAAGAGGTTCTCCATATTAGCACACTCAGTGTTCTTCACTTGGCATATCAAAATCAACCGGCTTTCAGCAGTTAGCACACTTAAATTGATAGAACTGGATGCCAAAGTTTGATCACACAGCAAGCCAGCTCTTTCAACATGTTTTGACCACAAATGCTGAAATCCAGAATATTTATAATGTTCTATACTTTCCTCTCTATTCTTCTTTTAGTGCACAAAACCATTTACCACATCTAAGGTTGCATGCTATCAAGTATCAACAAATGCACAAGCAACTCCGTATGCTGGTGTATGTGCTTTTGTAATTGTTAAGAAATATTTTGAGCATATACTACATTCCAATTACCATAAGACAATTCTAAATTTTTTATATTTTATTTAAATAATTTATTTTTAACTTTTATTATGTAAAAAAATTATTCATCTTTTTAAAATATTTTCAATAATAATACCAAACACTTCAATTTTAATTTTTTTAAATATACTTTAGGTTTTTTTTATTACTACATTTTTCAACCAACTCACATGTTATTATTTTATTAAATAAATACCCTTAAAATAATTTGAAAACCTAGAAGCGCTGTTTCTGGCGACGGTTAAAAGTTCCTTAGTACCAAAATTTAGGAGCATATTACCATCCTACTCGATTCCTTGGAGCCTACTTTAATTGAAAATTCGAAACTACAATGTCGGCATCTACGCTCTCCATCAGCGCCAACCCGGCGGTGTCCGCTCGTCGCCGACCTGTCCTCCTCGCCGAAAATAAATCCAACATCGAATCCTTGGCCGCCGAACCCAACCCTAATGGCGTTAATGTCGGGGATGATAAGGTCACCGGAGCCGCTAACACTTCCGGTCACAGCAGAGATCTTAGCCACCATTCCATCCGTGGCGAGGCGTTAAAGGACTATATGCAGGCGAGAAAAGTCACTATTGGTCAAAACACGAACGTTGCGCTGCGGCGGACACGGAAGGGAGCGGTCAACAAGTCCGAGAAACCCCGGTGGCATACTGTGGTTTGTATTTTTATCAAGAATTTAGTACTTTTACTTGTTTTGGCTGGGTTAGTTCAGATAGTTAGGAGATTGGCTTTGAAATCTGGGGAAGGTAGTAGCGTCGGAACGCAGGTCAGCTTAACTGAATTTGAGGGTAGGGTTGCTGAGGTTGAGACTTTTTTGAAGACTACTGCTAAAATGATCCAGGTTCAGGTAGATGTTGTTGATCGGAAAATTGAATATGAAATTGGTGGGTTAAGGAGGGAATTGAATGAGAAAATTGATGATCAAAGTGTGGAACTGGAGAATTCATTGAAAAAATTGGAAGAAAAGAGTGAAGGATTTGATAAGTCCTTGAGCGAATTGAAGAGTATGAATTTGTTGACGAGAGAAGAGTTTGAGAAGATGTATGGACAAATGTTAAAAGAGGTTGGAAATGGTAAGACTGAAACTGCTGTGAGTTTGAGTGATATAGGAGCCTATGCAAGAGAGATCGTCAAGAATGAGATTGAGAAGCATGCTTCAGACGGGCTTGCAAGGGCCGATTATGCTTTGTCTTCTGGTGGAGGAAAGGTTGTTAAGCATTCTGATCCCTTTCTTGCTGGAAAGGGAAACAACTGGTTTTTGAAAGGTAGTCAAACTGTGGTTCATCCTGATGCAGACAAGATGTTGAAGCCAGGTTTTGGGGAGCCAGGGCAGTGCTTTCCATTAAAAGGAAGTAATGGGTTTATTCAGATCAAGCTACGCACGGCTATTATTCCTAAGGCTGTAACTTTGGAACATGTTGCCAAGGTAACATTTTAGTTTCGCTTACATTGTTGTAAAGTTTTGTACTGTGTTTATAGTTCAACTTATGCTCATGTCTTAATTTTGGTTTGTGTTGTGATGGAAGTCCAATTATAATTCAGTTTCTTTTCATGTTACACCTAAAGCTTTAACATAATATACATAGGCTTTGAATGTTCAAAGAAGAGCTCCTATAGTCAGCCCCTCTAGCCAAAATAGTTTATACTGATGAGTTATATGAGCTATGCCTCTAAGATCTGGTTCGATCCTTCATCTTGCAATAACAGTCTGTTTCTTACTTTTTTAGGACATCATATTTCCTCTAACTAACAGGTAATAACTTGTCTTAGACTTTTTATAATTAGGAGATTTAGCTTAACTTGAGTAGCCTCGGTTTGACGATGGTAATAATTCTTATAGAGTTGGATGCGCATGGGCCTTATAGAATTGGGGGGGGGGAGAGGAAAGGACAAAAGCACTATTACTTGAATTTCATTTGCAGTCAGTATTGGCTAAGTAGTGTGTAAATACACCTGCATACCTTGCATCTCACCTCCTAAAATATATAGGTGATATGTGTGATTTTGCACTATGTAAATAATGAGGTTAGTAGGTTTTTCTTTCCTTCCATGGTGATGCAGGACCTTATAGAATTAAGAGAAGGGGGGGGGAGGACAGGACACAAGCACTAATACTTGAATTTCATTTGCAGTCAGTATTGGCTAAGTAGTGTGTAAATACACCTGCTTACCTTGCTTCTCACCTCCAAAAATAAATAGGTAATATGTATGATTTTGCACTATGTAAATAATGAGGTTAGTAGGTTTTTCTTTCCTTCCATGGTGATGCAGGAGCATCAAGTTCAATTTAATTATTAAAATTTTGATTATTAGTATTGATTTTTATTATCAGTTGTCATGGTTAGTATTTTTTAGTCTATCTTTTGTGTTATTATTATTTAATAGTTATCTGATTAGTATAGGACCCTTTGTAAGAGTTCTAGTATAACTATTCTACTAGAGAGTAAATAGGATTGTTAGTGAGGAATGAGGATCTTATTATAAATACAATAATAGGGTCTATTAAGGGCAGTTTTTATCATCATTAAGAGAGTTTTAATAAAGCTGGTTGCTGGAAAATCCACAGAATTTTGAATTCCTTATCCAATTACGTTTGTCCTTTTCTTTAAAAAAAAAATTTCATAGCTTTTCAGATTTTCCTCCCTGCACATGGTGGCTTCTGGAAAATAAAATGTTGCTTGATAATACAAATGCTGAGGTTTGAGTGAGGAGTATGCGTCAAATGAGAGTACGTTTTCCATTTATATTTGCTTTTAGCAGAGGCACACTTTTGGAAGTAGTGAGTGAAGTTATAGAGATTTCTGGCACTGCTTTATCTTAGTAGGGCAAGAGCTACTTGTATTTGCAAAAATCCACAGAACCCTTTTGTATCCCTTATCCAATTACGTTTGTCCTTTTTTTTTAAAAATTTCATAGCTTTTCATATTTTCCTCCCCGCCACATGGTGGCTTCTGGAAAATAAAATGTTGCTTGATAATACAAATGCTAAGGTTTGAGTGAAGAGTATGCGTCAAATGAGAATACGTTTTTCCATTTATATTTGCTTTTAGCAGAGGCACACTTTTGGAAGTAGTGAGTGAAATTATAGAGATTTCTGGCACTGCTTTATCTTATTAGGCAAGAGCTACTTGTATTTGCAAAAAAAATGGATTGCTAGGATGGGTTTTCTTCAGTATCAAATATTTAGTTTTCACCAGCCGTTTGCAGCTTAAGATATTGCCCTCTGTTGCTTTGAGAAGATAAAGATCCTTTAAGCAGAATATTATAAAAGTTGCTTAAAAGTCCCTAAAAATATAGTGAAGGCTTTTTATCATCAAAATTCTAAGATAATAGGTATAAACATATTGAAAATGTTGAAGCAACAAAAAGAACAAGCTAATAGGAGAATCGAATAATTTCATAAAAAGTAAAATACACAGCAAGACATAATATGAAAAGAAATAAAACAACAAGAACAGCAAGATTTACAATTTTACATCGTTTTGGTTTTAACCTGTATCCATGCGAAAAGGCAAATTTCTACTAAACAAAACTGAGTTACTTCAATTTCGTACTTGAAACTCACTTAAATGTACTACAAACTCACAATCCAAGAGCAAAAACACTTGCAATTATTAAAAATGATTTAATCACTTCACTTAGGTTGGTGCATCCATTTGTTGTTGCAGCTTAAGCATCATTATATTCAAAGCACTTTATAAAAATAATTGATAGCATGTACCTGAAAATAATTAAGGGGTAGACTCATGGGCTATTTAGCTGCCACTTCTTTGTTTTTAGTAGCTGTGTATGCCACATTTGAATATAGTTGAGGGGATATGACCCTCTCATATCAGACACTTATCCGTAATACTCATACCGATGTCTGAGTAACATAACATAGGGGAATGTTTCTATGAAGTTCTTTTCTCTTCTAATCTATTGTCTAAAATGCTTGGAGTACCCATCTATAGCACATATTAGGACATAGATGAAGGGATAACCGACCAAGAACCCTTCAATTATATGGAAAAACTTACAAAATGTTTAGCATACACATGTCTGACATATATCTGATCCAACACTCACATGGTCACACTTAAGTTCGAGAACATAGCCTAGAGGAACGATTACATGAAATTCTTTTCTCATCTCATATATGATCAAACTTGCCTCATTCTGGTGGAGCACCAGAGGAAACAACTATGCTACTTCTTTTAAAAAATAATCTTCTGTTTCTGAACTCTAAAAACATCTATCATATATTTTGAATCGAATAAAAACATATTTTTCTCTTGCAAAGCTGCAGCTTCTTATGATTGAATGGAAAGGCAGTGCTTGTCTTTGCAGCTTGCTTCATTTTTCATTTAAATTATGGTCAACATATTTAACTATTTTAATTGGACTTGAGTGTAAGAGTCGGGTATAAGTATATTTCCAATATGATTATGTTCCAGCTGTATTTTTTTATTTTTTATTTTAAATTTTTTTCTTGTATTGGGAGGGTTCCTATAAGGTCATATCTCCATATTTATGTTCATATATGTGTTCGATACAAATGTTAAACACATCTACTTTGAGAAAAAATGAAGACCCAGTGTAACTTAGAAAATATATGTAGGGTCGATTTAGGACTTAGGAGAGTGCTCCTGTTCGGCTACCTATCAATATTTCTGAAGTGCTAAGTATGTTGTTCTTGCATTGTGAACAGAGTGTGGCATATGATAGATCCAGTGCACCCAAGGACTGTCGTGTCTCTGGCTGGATGCAAGGTCGTGATCTTAATTTACCAGTTGACACCAATAAGATGTTTCTTTTGGTAGAGTTCATGTACGACCTTGAGAAGAGTGCCGCTCAGACCTTTGATGTATTGGATGCGGCTGGTGTTGGCATTGTTGACACAGTTAGGCTAGATTTCTCTTCCAACCATGGAAGCACTTCACATACCTGCATTTACCGATTGAGGGTGCATGGTGAAGAGCCTGACTTCGTTTCAATGGTAAAACTGCAGCCTTGAGGTACATAACGCTTTTTGTATCTGCATTACTCATGTAATTGTAATTCTCCTCTGTATTTAATTAAATAGTATTTAAGTCATTTCTCTCGGTACAAATTCCTTATATTAAGGTTTTATTCCGTGTAGCAAATGAGTGTGAATCTACTTGTATTTTTCCAGCTAGGGTAAAATTAAGAACAATGATGGAATATGCAGAAAAAAATGAGCTTTGTTTGATAGACTACAACTAGACGTTTTGGGAATTCAAGACTAATGATTCTTGCATATATGAGTACATCCACTGATGTGCATGAATGAGTCTATTCATTTGGCAATTCAAAACTAGATTTTTTTAATTAAGTTGGATAATTGATAGTTCAAAGTGCTAAAATCTAATCATAATGTCAAAACTAACCCCTTGTTTATTAAAATAGTTATTTTTTACTCCTATTATTTTTTTGGTAGTATTTTGACTCTTAAAGTTATATTTTGGGACAAAAAAGTCCATTTGTGGATGAAAATCGTTAATTAACAAGTAGTTAAAGTTCCAAAATATGATTTTTTATCATAAAATGAAATGTTGGGGGATAAAAACTTTAGAAAAAAGAATAAGGGTTAAAGTGATTATTCAGTCAAATAATAGTCTTTTTGTCTTAAAATAAAATATTAGAGGTCAAAATAGTTAAAAAAAAAAAGAAAAAAAAGAATAGGAGAAAGATGACTATTTTGATAAATATAGGGGCTTTTTCCTGGCATTATGCCTAAAATCTAGGGTTTCTTTGAAGTTGTATCATGAATGAAATTTCATGCGGAGTATATGAAAATCCTTTTACATCTCATTAATATAATGTTTAATTAACATTCTCAAAGAACCATTTTATTGACTTGCACCTTCATCTTTTTTTTTTTGGGGTGAATAAAGAAAATTGTCCTAATTTCTAATTACTGTACTGTTTTATCTTCTTATAGTGTGTCTATCACAGCAGTTCGGGGTTCGATGAGTATGTGCACTTCAATGTCCGAGGGCTTGGCCAGTGAATCTTTCCTTTAAGTGGTACATGTTGGTACCTCCGAATATGTAGTAGGATCGAAGGTGAAGCACTGTGTACCGCTTTGCTTTTGAGTAGACGAATAGCGTTCATGCAGTCTAATTCTACTTATATCCTCGATAGACCTGTTTCCCATGCTCTCAGCATTCCTCCTCATACTAACGCTTCCCGTACCGAACATATTCCTATGTATTTGTAGAATCCTAGGATCCACAGTCTAAACTGGTCTCTTAAGAGGCCTCCACATGCTGCATTTCCAGTTGTTTTGTCTCGGCTTTCTTTTTGGGACCCATCAACATTTTGACAAGTCGCTTTCTTTTTTGATCATACAGACGAGTTAATTGCATAAGTGAAGGTTATGGTAATATAGTCAACCAATTTCAGTTATTAGTTATGATATTGAATGTATCTTTTTAACTTTATTTTACCAAATAAACTTTTGTACCTTTTTTTATATTTGAAATAAAAATATTTTGTCGATTGAATTGTCATCTAGTCGACATCTTTTGTATTTGTGTATTTGAATATATATTAGTATAATTATTTATAATTTAAAAAATAAAAAATAAACAAAAATAAGTATTTAAGAGAATTATCTATAGTTTATGCACGAAATCTTACTTATTCAGCAGGTTACCGGACTTCTTAAAATTTCATTTTGCATCTCTGCTGCTTAAGTGAAAAATGTAGTCACTGTGTCAACTAATTTCACTTAACTAAGATATTGTTAGGGTGTATTGGTTCTTTATCTGCAAAGCAAATATTTTTCTTCACCATTCCCAGACTTGAAAAGTAAACTCTTAGATCTCTCTCTCTCTCTCTCACTTGCTCTCTCTTTTAAGCTCAAATCACCCACGAATCGGGTACTTTTGATATTGCTTTCCCCCGTATATTTTATTCCAGTCGATCTCTGTTTGAACGTTACTGGCTTATAGCTACAGTATTTGATTGATCTGCTAATCGTCTGTAAGATCGTGCCTTTTTTGAATTCGGTTGTTGAATCTGCTTCATACTTTTCATGTCTGTAAAGGTTTTTTTTTATCTTTCTGTTTTGAATCATTGCATGGAGCCTTTGTTTGCGTTTGGGGCTTGTCATCATCTGCGCTGCTCAAACTCTTCGTTTTCTTTCGAGTCTTGTTGTTCTTTTCATTAGTTTCACTTCAAAATATATGTTTTCGTAGGTAATATCTTTCATTTTCTTTAAATTCAGGGTTGTTTTTCTTTCCTTTTTACTGGATTTTTATTCTTGACTGTGGTTCGATATAGATCGGGTCAGATCTGGAGATCTGAAGGTTGCTGAATTGATTTTGTTGAACGATTAATTTTTATTATAGTTGATTTATGTGTATTTTGGCTTTTCTGGGGTCAATAAAGATATTGTACTATCTTGTTTTGGGGAAAAAACTCTAGAATTTTCAGTTTAATTTTTTGCGATCTTGTAGTATTTGCATGATTCTAATATTTTCTAAAACTATCGTTTTATGTTTTGGAGCCAAGAAAAATAGTTTTGATTGTTAATTCAAATATTTTCTGAAATTCGTTTCTCAATCCATTGACGTATGTACATCTGTTTACGCAATTTACCTTATAATTGTTAATAAACTTACTTATTATTATTATTAACCTAATTACACAATTTATCTTATAATTGTTAATAAACTTACTTATTATTATTATTAACCTAATTACACAATTTATCTTATAATTGTTAATAAACTTACTAGCAATAAATTAAAATCGTACTTAGTAACCAACTAGGCTTTTTAGTACCCCACAATTCTCTGGCTTTTTTGGTGCATCTTCTGTCTTCTTTGGATTCATTTTTCATAGTTTCTCATAGCTTCGACTATAGATGATTACTTGAGGTCATGTCCTTTTAGAGCCCATGGGGCGTATAGGGGGAGGGCTCGATATAGTGGTGATAAGGAGATTAGACTTAGAGTTTGCTCGTTGAATGTAGGCACATTAAATGCTAGGCTGCTGGAGCTGACCGACGTACTTAATAATAGGAAAATAGATTTTGCATGTATTCAGGAGACTAGGTGGAAAGGGCTAGCGCCAGAGAGTGTAATGGGTACAAGTTGTGGTATTCAGGCGTAGATAAGGCTAGAAATGGGGTGGGTATCTTGGTATCCTCTAGGCTCAAGAAAAATGTAGTTGAAGTTTGTAGATACCGGGATAGGATCATGATAATTAAGGTTATTATAGAAGAGGAAGTGTTGAATGTCCTTTCAGTGTACGCCCCACACGTTGGCCTAGGGGAGGGGGAGAAACGTTGCTTCTGGGATCAGTTAGATGATGTACTTAGGAGCATTCCGGAGGACCAAAGAGTTTTCATAGGGGGAGACTTCAATGGCCTTATAGGTAGTGCAACCGACGGGTTTGACGGTGTTCATGGGGGTTTCAGTTATGGTAGCAGGAACGATGAGGGACGTACGTTGCTTGAATTTGCTATTGCACATGATTTGGTGGTCACTAACTCCTTATTTATAAGAGAGATGCGAACTTGATTACGTTTCATAACGGGGGACATTGTACCCAAATCGACTACATCCTGGTTCGAAATCGGGATCGATGGGCTTGCATTGACTGTAAGGTATCCCCTGAAGAGGCATGTGCATCACAACACAAATTGTTGGTTTTGGTGTTCCGCGCACCGCACGGGAGGAGCACTCATAGGAGGGCTAAACTGGGTAAACCTAGGATCCTTTGGAAGAAGTTACATGGAGCGACAGCTGATGACTTTAGGAGTAATGTTTTGTCTAATACAGGTTTTGGAACTACAAACTCAAATAATGCAGATTTGTTATGGAAAAATATGGTAAATTCCATCAGAGAGATGGACAAAAACACCCTGGGGTTGTCGACAAGAAAGGCCAAGGAACATAAAGAATCGTGGTGGTGGAACGACGAAGTCCAAACTAAGGTGAAGACAAAGCAAACTTGCTTCAAGGAATTTCTACAATGCAATGACGACGAAGAAAGGTCGAGAGCTAAACAAAGATATAAGGAGGCAAAGCGGGAAGCTAAGAAAACGGTGGCTAAAGCAAATGATAAGGCATACGAGGAAATGTACAAGAGATTAGACACCAAGGAATGACAAAATGACATCTTTAGGCTTGCAAAATCTAGGGAGAATAGGAAAAAGGATCTAGGTATCATTAGGTTTATTAAGGACAATAATGGTGTTCTTTTAACGAAAGATCATGATATTAAGAGGGTTTGGGGTAGTTACTTCTTTGGCTTATTTAATGACGGTGCCTCTCCCTGTAGAGATAGTACCGTTGATGGGTCAGCCGGCCATCATACTACGGCTAATGACTACCCTACAAGTAGGATTGAGTTTGAGGAAGTCAAAATGGCTCTTAGAAAGATAGGAAGGGACAAAGTTGTCGGTCCTGATCAAATTCTTATCACTGTGTGGTTGACCCTAGGAGAAGAGGGAGTTAAGTGGTTAACCAACATCTTTAATATTATTTTAGAGACTGCCAATATGCCAGAGGAGTGGAGAGAGTCCACGGTGATACCAATCTATAAGAATAAAGGAGATCCCCAACGTTGTGGTAACTACAGAGGTATTAAACTACTCAGTCATACCATGAAGCTATGGGAAAGGGTGATAGAGGCTAGGTTGAGACAAGTTACTAGGGTTTCAGAAAACTAATTTGGCTTTATGCCAGGCAGGTCTACCACAGAGGCGATTCATCTACTTTGACGACTTATGGAGAAATATAGGGAAAAGTCTAGAGATCTTCACATGGCGTTCATTGACCTTGAGAAGGCTTATGATAACGTTCCCCGAGATACGATCTGGAAGACTTTGGAAATGAGACGGATCCTAACTGCTTATATCCGGGAGATTCGTGATATGTATTGTAGATCTACTACACACGTCAGGACTACAGTTGGCGACACCGAGGCATTCCCAGTGGAAATCGGACTCCACCAGGGGTCGGCTCTTAGCCCTTACATCTTCGCCTTGATTATGGACGACATCTATTGTGCGACACCAGACGGTGTACCATGGTGTATGCTTTTCGCTGACGACATTGTCCTAGTTGCTGAAACAAAATCTGAGTTGAATAGTAGACTGGCTACCTGGAAGACTGCTTTGGAAGAAAAAGGTCTAATGATCAATATTGAAAAGACAGAGTATTTATGTTCAAACTTCAGTGGGGACCAAAACGATGAAGATGTAGAAGTATGCATAGAAGGACACGTTCTCCCCTCAAATGATTGTTTCAAGTACCTAGGGTCTATGATACATAAAGATGGGGGTGTAGATGATGACGTTACACACCGTATAAAGGCGGGATGGCTAAAGTGGAGGGTCGCTACTGGAGTTTTGTGTGACAAGAAGGTGCCTCTAAAACTTAAGGGAAAATTTTATAGAATGACAATAAGACCAGCGTTGTTGTATGGATCAGAATGTTGGGCAACCAAGAAGGATCATGTAAGGAGGATAGAGACCGCAGAAATGAGAATTCTTCGATGGACATGCGGTAGGACTCTGTGGGATATGACAACAAACTTTGCTATTAGGATGTCCTTGGGGGTGGTGCATGTTTCCTAAAAATTGATGGAGGGAAGACTACGGTGGTTTGGGCATGTCCTTAGGCGACTACCGTCAGATGCGGTCAGGAGGGTAGAGTCGATTACAGTCGACGGTGCCAGAAGGAGAAGACGACCAATGCGGAAGTGGGAAGACTGCTTGAGATCTGATTTGATGGATTTAGCCCTTACCGAGGACATGTCATCTGATAGGAAAGTATGGAGACTTAAGACTAGGGTAGTCGAGTAGTGTGGGTCACATCTCTAGGGTGTATCATCTCTGTCTTCTTTTAATGCCTTTGTAGTAATTTCCATAACTTCTACTTTTTATACGTTTCTGTTATTGGTATTTATGAAGGCTTAGAACTAGGCTTGCTATCGTTGACTTCTGTGTAACATTCTCTTCACTTTTAAATTTAGTCGGGTCTTACGTTTCTGTCTATATGCAGAGATTTTTTCGCAGGGATTACTGCCCATTACAAACGCGCATATGATATTAATGACTGCATATGAATACTGTTTAACTATGTATTTACGTATTTATTTATACATGCATTGCATTTTATCTTTATTTTTAATTTTCTGACTGTCGGAGGTCTTCCACGGAAGCTACTCTCAACCTGGCGTTGGGGGCAGCCTACTACCTTACCTCCCCCTTACCCCATTGCATATGAAAATTGGGTTTTGTTGTTGTTGTTGTAAGATATTGTTAGGTTCTTGATAAAATTTTCAGTTACAACCAATTTATATAATTTTTAATTTTATATTAAAAAGTTGTATTTTAGACTCTTCTAAAAAAATTGATTTGTTTTTATTTCTAAGTCACTAACATTATTATCATGGTGACACTGTTTTTGTCTACTTATCGAATGTACAAAAAAAATTCAAGCATAAAATTTACGAAATTAAATAATTTCTAAAAAACGCATAACTAAAATAAATAAACTTACATATTGCAAATTATGCCTTGGCAAATCCAACCTTTTCTCCTTTATTATTTTTTTTGAAAAATGATTTTAGCATGTATTTCCAAATTCAAAATTACTTAGCAAGGTTCATAGTTTTATAAAGAAAATAAAGGTAAAAAATCATATATTTATGGATCGCTGGATTCAAGGATTTTTATACAATGTTGTGAACCCATATGGTGTAATCTGCTTCTGTTTCTAATACTCTGTGCAGTTTTTCCAGTAACCTCAAGTATACTAGCAGCCGGTTCTCTTACTAGTCCTGTTACTCCCAAAGCTATCCCTGTACAAAAGACGGAAAATAAGATATTTCAGATGCCCATGCATGTCTTGCTGATAATGGAAGTACTATGGTTTGTAAAGAGATGCAGTCAACTCACTGCCAGTTGTGTACCTGAGAAGATGCCAGGTAGGCTGTGTTTCTCTGCTTCTTTAATCGGTGATTGGAGGAGGCCAGTAAGTCCCTGAAATGCAAAATATTAGGATAGATATATTGTTTACCTATTATAGGATTTTTATATTTGTATATATACCCACAAGGTTTAAGAATAAAACACACAAGAAAGTATTACCTTACTGATAATCTACATGGTATCAGATGTCCTAAATCAATTTCATGGATTTTAGGTAGAAAATCAATTTCAGGCAGTAAAATTTTTGGCCAGTTTCGTTGTCAAAAACAGGGGGTTATTGCCGTTCTTCAAAGGGCAGGTTTTAGAGGCTCTCCTTCAAGGCGGTAGAACTCGTTCTGTATTATTTGAAAAGTGCTCCTGGACCGTGGAATTCTATATGACAATCATTGGCATTCTAGGATCAAATGTATCTCAAATTATTTCCACATCTATAGTTCTGGATAGATTACAATTCAATATCCTCATTTTATTTATTTACTTCTATAGAAATATTTTCTTTAAAATCGTTGTCCATAACTTTTCTATTTTTGGTTCAATCATTTTCTCATAATGACATAACTTATCGAGATTTATTCGTTATTTCCATTTTCATTTTTCAGGTACCTCAAACTCTTCTAGAGTTGTATTGTTAGTTATGTCTTGAGTTTCTTTATGACTATCCGCCTCTACTATATGACCATCTTATACTACTTTTCATTTACGAGAACTTTAATCGTCGGAACTATCATGCTTCGAGCATGATTCACATTCTTTTGCTCTAACATGTTATCCTTGTGGGATTTCAATTCAAATTTAGATCATTTTCAGCAGTTATATGAGACTTGATTACTGTCATTAGGTTAGTAAATATTTCTAGCAATTAACTTGTAATGAATTATCTTATGAACTTCTGGTTCACATCACTATGTAAGAGGATCTAAATAAAATGATAATTTTTATATATTTTCATCCAACTGATTCATTTCTTCCCTTGATGAAAAAACAATTGAATCTCAAAACATTCAATAAAGTGAGACTTATACTCAATATATATATATATATATTCAAATATCAATTTATGCGTATTTGTGGTGGATTATTATAAATATATAATGCACAACTAAAAAAAATTATAATAAGAAATATGGCTAAACAATTGAATTACTATATAGATACTAGAACTTTTGCTCTCATAGTTTATTTATTAAAATGAGGCAATAAAAAATTTAATAAATTATTTATTCATAAACTGCAGGTGTAACAATTATTTCAATTGATATACAATATAATCTTTAATAGTCTAAAATATAAACTCACTAAGTTTAGCCAGATAAATAGTCTTGTCAATAAGATATGCAATACATTAAATCCCAACTTTAAATAATGATGTTCTAAATTCATTTTGAGAACATATAATAGTGAACTTCAGGTTCTTTAGATTTATGCAAATCTCAATAATCTTCGCATCATTATTGATTGCGTTGGTCTAACCAATCATGCCAACTAATTAATTTTTTTTCAAACTTGTAAACTTCTAGTTTTCCATAAGATGTGATTCAATTTCATCAAAATTTATAAACTTTTGATTTACCATAACATGTGATTCAATTTCATTCAAAATTTGCAAACTAATTTTGATTTATTGATGTGTAGTACAAATAAAAGAAGTTAGACAATTTTAAGATACAAGTTTTCTCAAAACTTGAAAGTACATTATCCGTCATAAAATTGTTCATCTAATAAGAATACATTTAGCTCTTCTGGAGCCTTCAATAAATTTTATATTACAAATATTAATATCAATTTACTATTAGAAACATGACAAATAAAAATAAACCATGGTAAGTGTATCTTGAGGTTGCTAACAATCCCATCACCATGGTTATTTTCGCATAGACTATCATAAACATTAAAACAACCTTCCTTTCATGGTAAAATCATAACCACAAATAAAAATATATTCTCATAAATAAATAAAAATAACATTGAGTAATTAACCTTTACGCTTTTGACTTTTATTACTTACTCAAGAATTGTCATGACTTTTGTCGACGAAATTTCAAAAAAAATCTCTCATTTATCAATAGAATTGTGGTACATGAATTATGGCATACACATGATTTTATATTTGCACATAACATAAAGAGATTTCACACTTACCAGAAAAAATATAATTGATTAATGATCAAAGCATTAAAAAGTCATACAAATCCCATATTTACTGTTAGAGATCTTATAAATCTCACCAATTATGTAAAATATTTGTTAAATATAACAACTACTGCAGAGATACATATATCAATTCTTGAACTATAATATGAATAACTAGCATGATAAGAAGAAAGAAAATTATTTAATATAAGCATAGTAGGACAAGATGTCCAACCTCATGGAATGCAATATCTTAACTTGATCTTGAATTTTGCAATGTCTCGTAGTTTATAGTCATTAAGCGCTAGTTTTCATCAATTTTTTATGTTTTCTTGCAAAAAATTATAGGTCTAAAATTGAATTTAAAAGTCACGTTGAAACTATAAATACGATTCACATAGTTGATATTAAGACCAAAATGAAACTGTTAACTACCAAACATTTTGAGTAACTATAACTTCAGCATAAACATTCCATCTTTCACGTCATATAGGATAGCAAAGTAAGATCGTAAAAATGTTTTCATTTTCAAGTGTCACTAAATATATTTAAAATATGAAAGCAGCCACCAAATATTTTAAAATTTTAAAACATAATTCAACACTAAGAATAATTGTAGTTCTTTACCCTATCAACTGTCAAGATAACAAATTAACTTGCACCACTACAAGTTCAACAGTAAAAATATTTGTAATTTCCTTACAGTCTCATATTTGTCGTTGAATCCTTAAAATTTAACGAGTATAGTTTGATACTATGACCTTTAATCTCAATATAAACGAAGAAAACTTTAATCTAAACGAAGCAATAAGAAGAATACGAAGAAGAAGATATATAAAAATAAAGGGAGATAATTGTATTGTTATCTCAATCTGAGTTGTGTACAATGTTTTATCTAAACAACATATTTATAAACGTAAGGAATATATATCATAAAAAACTCTAACTCTAGTGGATATTAAAGTTCTAATAATAAGTATATCAAAACATTATCTTATAGATATAGATAAGAGATATAAATAGACATCCACATAAATAAATATTCATAACAATTACTAGTTATTACAAGGTTTAAAAATTAAAAAGAGTTTAAAATTATTTTTCTTTGCCCTAAACCTTAAATTCTATTTAAATAATTCAGTGGTCATATTAACACATTTAAAAATAATGATCATTTTAATATCAATTTTATAGTTAGATGACCATCCAATTAGTTTACCCTAGAATTAAAACAATTTTTTAATTTACCTTTAACATCATTAAGGGAAAAAACGGGAAAGTACACGAAAAAACGGAGAGTTTTCACTGCTTTCCTGCGAGAACCAAAAAGGGGAGAAAGGAAGCGCCGTCGTTGCTTGGGTCTTGTAGCCATCGCCGCCGTTCTTGTTTTCGTCGTGGGATTGTGCGCCACCGTTGGATTGTCAGCCTGCCTCTTCTATTTGCGAGGTAATTTTTCTTTGTGTTTATTTCGGTTCATTGTAGTTGAACAGAAAAGTGGGGACTGTGTTCGGGTGAGAGGCTGCCGTGGTGGTTACCACCACAGAGGATTATTGGATTGATTAAGGATTTAAATAACGGTCACTAGTGGAGTAGCGGGTGCTATATCGTGGTAAAGGTGTTGTCCAAAATTATTATTGTGAAAAATAGCGGTGTGCAGCATAATCACACCAATAACAACGGTGGATTCACGATCACAATTTAATGGGTAACGATCAATTGTGACAATAATGGGCCGTCGTTCATTTAAAAAAAACCAGTTCATTTTAAAAAATAAACTCCTTGAAAAAAAAATTCATCGCGATACCCGTAGTGACCTCAATATTCATTGCGATACACAATAAAGAATGCGGACGTAACCTCAATCTAAATACTTGGTGAGTTCGTTCGCCTGTTGGCGTGGTGGCCATTGTCGGAGGGCTGCGGTGGATGACTTTGTCTTTGTCGGAGTGGACCATAGTCCCCGTGTTAGTGTTGAGAGTAGCCATGTCCATTCGTGTGCAGGCATGGGTTGTCGGTGGGCTCTCGAAGAGAAGGGAGTGGCGGCCGACAACCCTTTGTGTTCCTGAACCGATGGGTTTCTAACATTTGGGGGATAACGTGTGAAGGAAAAGTTTAATAATAAAATTAAGTCGGGGTTTTGCACATAAAACAGTAGTCCTTGATCTAGGATTTTGAAATATCATTCGAGTATGTGAGAGAAATAATAATATTTAGTTATTATTTCAATGTAATTCAAATGTTTAAGTGGATTTTCGATATTAACTTATCAAGGATTTGAATTCGATTGAAAAAGTATTAATACACCAAATAATTTTATAGGATCGGACGAGTTAGACTCAACTCTACATCGTTAAATTTTGGAGTTAAATAAGGCGTGTGTCCTACCCCCTTTGTTGTCTAAATAGATCTATATGTTGGTAAATGTTCCGCGTGTGTTCTATTCCCGAGTTTGTTCAGTTAATTTCATTATTAGATAGTCCTTAGATTGCCTGATTGTGGATAACAATATCAATGTTTTGTGTGTTGAAAGTGTGTTTTGATTGAATGTTTATTCTGTTGATGTGATGGTACCTTATGATGATATTCTCTTTATATTTATCGTGGATTTGTATACTATATGATCATACTTTACATATACATGCATTTGGTGTAGCTCCCTTTTGAAGTTCCCTCTAATTTTGAATTATTTGTGTTGTAGCATTACAATCTCGTATTTGCTATAATGGATCCACATAACCTTCCATTTGAAGTTGGACAACTAGTTGAGACAAGATCTTTTTTACATGGTTATCGTGGTGCATGGTTTAGATGCAAGGTATATGGTTATGTTGTATAAACGTGCCTTTTAATTTTATAAATTGTGTCATTGCACATTGGTTTTTAAACTAAGATGGAATAAGTTCTTCCGGGATGATAGATAACAAAATTGTCAAATTAGCTTCATGTATCTTGTGAAAAATTATTACGTCCATATAGCAATTGTTTTTTTTTCCTGTTACAAATTTTAATGTTATCCAATCTTGCTAGAAAATTCTGTCATTTTTGGTGACTTTAAAAGTTTGGCATTCACGTTGTGCAAGGCTTTTTTGACAAATGAAATTAGTAAAAATAAAAGTAAAAATTTGTTACTTCTGATTTCAGCTTCTTTTTATACTGCCCTTCAAGCTTGGATGTATATGTTAAACAAACACAACTTGGATTTTAATTCATCAAAGTTGGTTCTTTGGAGCTTTGGTGAGGATGTCAGTAAGTTGTAGTTGAGTGGGAATGTAATTCAACTGAACTATCCCATTGTTGACTTTCTTTGAAATGAAATGTTTGTCAATCCTTATTTGCTTGGTTCTGTCATACTGTACTAGTTCTTCAACAATACTTATGGAGGATTGATTGCCACTTTAAATTTTGATTTAACCCTTTAATAATCTCTGAATCCATAATCTTTCAAAGATTCCTAGAGCAAGTGCCTGGAATTTTGCCTATGCACTACTCCTTGACACCATAAATTGTTTTTTTGCTTCTCTATGTAACAAGAATTCCCAAAAAAAGAGCAATAACTACTTGTATCTCCTTAGTTAATTTTCCAGCCTAACTTGCATTAGTGTACACTTTTATCTCAAGGCTTTCACAATTTTTAAAGATTAAACCGTGATTTAGTGTCATCTTTAGGTATCTAAGGATTTAGTTTACAACCTAAGTATTCTTCACGTGGATCATTCATATGTTTACTAACAATACGCTTTGAGAATCCAATGTTTGATCTTGTGTGTGATAGATTAACCTGCCTACTAGTCTTTGATATTGTTATTTATCAATTGGTGCCCACTTTATTTTTCCTTAACTTTAGGTTGGGATCTATAGGTGTTTCTATTGGTTTACATCCAAATCCTCCTTCATTTTTCCTTAACTTTAGGTTATGATTCATGGTGTTTCTATTGGCTTACACTTTACACGCAAGCATACCAATCTCAGTAAATCTAAGATTTACTTTCTTTAAGATCAAACTTTGCAACAAGTAATCTTTTCAGTGATGATTTCTTAGGAGTCATCCCCAGCTATAATGACATCATTAACATACACAATAAAGATGGTATTTTTACCTTTTGATGAGGTTTACAAAAAATAAGATGTGATCTTCTTGGCATTGACTATATTCATATCTGAACATTACTTTGGCGAACCTATCAAACCAGGTACGAGATGATTGTTTTAGATCATACAATAATTTTTTTAGCTTGTACACTTGATAGCTATTTGAAGGGTTTTTAGGCCTGTATGTATCTCCATCTAAAAATCCTTTTTTTTATAGAAATAGGCGGCCTCATTAAAATCCTCCCTCATAGTGGTTCCTTTCCCGAAAGAAAACCAACCAGCGGAAGGAGGAAAAGAGTGCCTTAATTTATTAATATAACATCATTACATAAGACTTAATAATTACACCAGAAAACGTATAGGGCCAATTTTTATTTACCGTTAGTGACTATAGTACTCGAAATGTATTCAACTAGGCAACAGGTGCTCATGTTTCTTGATAATTGATTCCATATGATTGTGTAAAATCCTTTGCCACCGTCCTAACTTCGAACTTTTAGACACTCCCATATATTTGAAACTTCATTGTGAACATCCACTTGCAACCTGTTGGCTTATTTCATTGTGGTAACTTTGTAAGGATCCATGTTCCATTGCTGTCCAAGGCTTTGATTTTTTTCTTCTACAACCTTTTTTTTATCCTAGAATCTTTAAAGCTTCTTGAATTGATTTTGCATTCTGAATGCTATCAAGAGATGAATTGAACTCTTTCTATGACAACTTCTCCTAGGCCATGAATCTCTCTATAGGATAGTCGTTGCATGTTCAAACACCATTTCTCTGAGTAATGGGCAAATCTAAATTATTAGTAATAGGAATATGAGGCTCACTAGGTGATTCCACTTGAGACTTCATTGGTGTGTTGTTTTGAGGAGCTGGAGATGGTAAATGTTTTGGATTGACACTTTGCGTAGTGTTATGAAGGTTGTTCCAAACCTAAATTCTCTTTTCTCCCCTTGCATTCTAGATTTGAAGAAGTGTAGTTGGTGTTTAAAATGGTTACATCTATGGATTTGTACATTTTCCTAGTAATAGGTAACACTTGTAGCCTTATTTATTAAAATACATTAGAAAAACACATTTTGTTGGCTTGGGATCAAGGTTGGTTCAATGTTGGCGTATGTGAGCAAAGGTAGAATAACCTAAGACTCTAAGTGGAAGATTGAAAGAAAAAGATCTAGCATGTGGTAAGACTTGTAGTAGGATTTTAATAGGTCTTTGAAATTTTAGCATTCCACTAGGCTTCCCCCAAAAGTGTTTAGGTACAAGATTAGTGAACATGAGCGATCTAGCTACCTTTAGTTAGTGTTCACTTTTCCTTTCGGCTACCCATTTTACTTAAGTGTGTTAACATAAGAACTCACATGTATAACCCCTCTTGTTATGAAATAAGAGCCCAAGGTTGATGTAAAATAGTCACTACCATTATTTGTTTTGAGAATCTGATTTTTACTCTTAAATTTTAATATGAATCATGGAATTAAAGGACTTGAATATTTCCTTAGTTTCAAAATTTTCTTTTATAAGGAATGTTCAAACGGTTCTAGCGTGATCATTTATAAAAGAAATGAACTAACAAACTCTATTAATATTGTTCACACGTGAAGGTTCCCAAATGACATTTTTCAGTTTTTTTTCTTTCAAAAAATCATAGAGAATGGATGTGAAGTCCTGTATTGGATGCTAGGATAGTCATGTCGAGTGTGTTTTGCAAGTACACAAATTGTGGAAGACATGCTATCTTTATTGATGAACAAATGAGGAAGCAACTTTTCAAGTTAAACGAAATTAGGGTGACTAAGGCAAAAGTGTCAGAATTTGACTTGATTTGAAACAAAAGCATAAATAAAAGAGAACTTAGGAATTGATTTTGGGATAAAACTTTAATGATTTTGTCTAGTGGACCATTCCCTTAAAGCATGTAGAGACCACCACACATCTCAACACTGTCAATCATCTTTCTTGAATTTGCTGCATGAAATTAAAAAAAAGGTTTGATTGTAATTGTCATAGTTCTAATCACGAGTGAGTTTATTAATAGACATTAGATGACAATTTTATTTTGGAACATAAAGGACAAATGAGAGGTCCTTTTCTAATTTGATTGATTTGATTGCTTACACATTTTGAGAGTGATCTATATGTTATTTGGACTATAGAGGCTTGATTGTGGGTTGTACTAACCTTACTACTAGAGGTAATCAAACATTTTTTGATCCAATCACTTTATGATATTGCACTAGAAAATAATACTTGCCTTGCAAGTTGTTTTGATCCAATCACTTTATGATATTGCACTAAAAAATAATACTTGTCTTGCAGGTTGTCTGATTGTTTATAAAGTTCAAAATTTGCATCTTAATACTCTTAGAGAAATATTATCTGAGTTTTACTAGGGTTAATTAGTGCAACACAACTCAATTACTTGTATTTTTTTGAAAAGGAATATTTTATTAGAATAATGAGATACAAGACATTGTAGGGGGTCTCATTAAGAAACCTCCCTAACCCTAAATGGAGGGAAAAGAGTGCCTCCAGTACAATGACCAAAGCGAATAAACTTAGGACTTACAACCAAATTGAAAATTGAAATTAAGCGTAGCAGATAACCAATATAGTAGTAGTAGTAGCACTAGAAACACAAAAATAAACAAGACTAACTATACTCCCACTGCAAAACAGCGAAGCAGACCGAACCAACCAAAACTACTGCTCCCTTGCATACTCCACTTGGGCTCAATCTCAATTGATCCCTTGCTTAGCCAGCTGATTAGCCCGAGTGTTACACTTCCTCGGAGTGAATGATGCTACTATGTTTTCTTGCAATAATAGGGTCCTTATAGGATTAACAAACGATGCCCACACTGTTAGAATGGATGAAGAATTCGAAAACCAGTCCACGACCCTAGCACAATTGGTCTCGACAATTAACCCCTCAGACTTATACCACTGTGACTTCATATACAATTTGATAGTGTGATCTATTGGCAATATTTTCGCTTGAACTAGAGATCCGCACCCAATTGGCATCGAAAAAGTCAAAAGCGTTTTACTATTATGATCATGAAGTAACCTCCAATTCCACCAGCACAACCGTCTGACTTCATCGCTCGCCTTTTTATTAATACATGTGTCATCTGCGCGCGTAAGATCAGCAACCAAATCTTCTCTAATTAAGGCAGCATCTGGGAATTTAGCTTTCAGCCAGCAAACTACTTGAAGCTTCTCCAGGAACACCATTTGCAACCCATCCAACTTGTTATTGAAGACAAGGTCATTTTTGTGGAGCCAAATCGTCCAAATAATTGCAAAGGGGAGTCCGAACTAACCTTTGATGTGCTCCAATTTGGAGACTTTCATTCCATGATAATAAGAAGCTCTTAGGGTCATTAGGTAGGACTGTCGAGATACGCCACAAGGCGAGTGAAGCCCCCCAGATTTTCCAAGAGACCTAACACGAAAGAAAGAGATGTTCAAGAGTGTCTTGATGCAGTAAACAAAGAGGACAAATTGAATCCGTCACCACTCTTTTTGCGAGTTCCGACCTGACTGGAATTAGCTTATAAAGTACTCTCCACATGAACAACTCAACTCTATACGGAGCGATATCCAATCAAATAAATTTTCTCTAGTTAAAATCTGCTGCACTACTGGGTACCTGTAACTTAATGGCTGATTTTGTAGAATAAACCGTGTCGCTTGAGCCACTCCATTTTACCCAGTTCA